TTCCTTACAATAATCCCATAGACGAAGTTTTTGTTTACTTATTTTGCATTTTCGGATGAGCATAAATCAAACATTGTGCACGGTCAAAACTGGTTCAACATCAAAAGCGAACAAAGACCTGATAACAATAGGTTTCCTAACCATTCCCCTCTATTAACAATGGTCTGACAAAAGTATACTCGCAAACTTTTTTGTATACTTAGGGTATCAGGGTACCTCTAGCAACCATTGTGCATTAAACTCTTAATAGCACAAAACTTTTTAATCAAAACCTCAACAAAGTATACATTTTCTGAAAGCTCAATAAATGTAGAAACTTTTCCGTTTTTCCTTTTTGTAAAATAAACTAATCCTTTTAAGTTAGAGCGAATTATTCAAATTTTTACCTTGGCATCTTCGCGGAGTTCGATGACAGCCGGTAATGATCGGAAACCAATGCTTATTACCTTTCCGAGATCACGAAACATCACTTGTCAAAGAGCAATTTTGGGGTACCCTGATACCTTAATAGGAGAAAACAAAAAATTTTTTTCTTCTCTCAAACTCTTCAAAATTCTTAGAAAAATTGCTGAAATGCAGCGCATGCGCAAACGTTTTTCTCTAGCGTCACATTTCCATTCTTGTTAGCAATCTCGTTCGAGTTAAATATGGTAATTTATGCTAATTAAGGATTCTATTGCTCTGTCATCTAACCACAATCAATCGTCCTCTTCTTGTTTTCGAGACTGTTACGCGAAACAAATGTTCATACGCGCGCGATAGTATAATATTCTACCCTATGTATTGTTATGAATGAGACTCTCATGAGGTATCCACTATGGCCCGGAACAATGCTCAGGTAACCCATAGTGTAATATTTTTTATCCCGCTTGCTCGCGGGTCGACGTCTGTACTCTTACCGTTAATTTGAATGAAGAATGAATGAAGTGGCGCAGAGGGACCACAGTTCCCTTTATACATTACTCTATTTGCACATTACAATTCCCTAGCCTATTCATCATAATATTCACAATGACTGTGAATAGTATTGTTGTTCTAATCGTCCACCTGTATTCTCTATATTATACTGAATATGATTAATCGAAGGGAACGTTCTTTTTTTATCGTTAGTTTTTCTTGTCAGCTGCGTCAGTGTTTCTAATGAAACAGTAATGATAAAAAGGTCAATTATAAACAGTGAAAAGATGAAAAAACTTACTGATGTTTCGGACGTTAGTCCTTCGTCGAAACGTCAGTAAGTTTTTTCATCTTTTCACGGCGTATAATTTACCTTTTTATCATTACTGTTTTTCTTACCAGTTTATTTTTGTTGTTGTTAAGATTACATAAGCTCGGCACTAAGACGAATCCGAAGCTGATTTTAAAACTAATACACTCGTATAAAATGATCATATATTTTTAGTTCCTACAACACAGTATGAGCTTGGAATTGATGTTTGACCGACTGAAAATCAGACTGCGTGATGGTATCCCGCGGCGTGCGGCGTCGCTTTGCAATTTCTCAGAATTGAAGTCTTTCTCAGAAGTCTATAACTGTTTACCGTCTATTAAAAAAAATTGCAAATTTTTTATTTCCTAGCTACTAAATACGGCGTCGCTTTACAGTTGATCAGAATTGAATCTTTAACCAAAAAAAAAAATTTAAACTGCTAAACTTCACCCCATAGGTACTATGATAATATTCCT